GGTCATCTATATCATGCTCTACAGAAACTAGTAGCTTTTTCTTGTGCGATTGGATCACATGATTCCTCCTATGCATGCTAAAAGTCCCATTTGTCTTGTATAACCACTGCAATTTCAATGTAGCTGATTCAACAAGTATTATTTGCTAAATGTCAGCCTCATCCTCATTTCTACATGTCTAATTTTGATCTGTCCAATTGAGTTGCACCATCTGTTGATAATTTGCTTTAAATGGAAAATTCTGTTATCGTCTATCCATCCTCATGTTACTCAGAACTGTTAGAGCTTTTTCCCCTCTGAAACACAAAGGGAGTTATTAGCAAAATGACAAAGCTGCTCTCTTACAACACAACTGGCTGTCTGGTTCAGTGCAATTATAATTATAATGAATATATTTGGCTTAAATTTGAACCCTGGTCCTCCTCCTGGCTAATACTTTTTTTATACACTTCCATTGAAAAGTTTGGGGTTTGTAAAATTGTACAATGTTTTTGAAAGAAGTCTCTTATTCTCAACAAGGCTACAATTATTTGGTCAAAAATACAGTAATACTGTGAAATATTTTTGAATTGATTTGGTACTCATTTATTATTATTATGAAGGTTGAAAACAGTTCAGCAGTGATAAATTATTTTTATGTTTAGGACCAACAGGTCTTGAACAGACCAAGTTACCAAATGCCTCAAACTGGAGTCACAGGACATCCTTTACTGCAGGCTTGTTTATGAGGAAGAGTGTGGCTGCAACGTGGCTCTCTTTCTCTCCCTTCTTTGTTCAGAACTGAGTCTGTAAACACAGAACACCCCTTCCCCATTTAACACTGCATGTGACATTGTCGAGTTCATTTTTGCCTCATGCAAATCTATCATAAGCATGCACACTTGTATATACATAAACATGATGACACACATGCACACGTTTACATGTGCACAGTCATGGGTGCGGGGCTTAAGTGAGTAAGTGATGATAGCAAACCGATGGTGGAGGGTGGGGTCATGTGCCAACAAATGCTAATTAAAGCCGCTGTCAGCTCATCCTTCGAGTCGACTCTTAGTTTGAGAGCTGCTGTTCCCACAGATGTGACCTGATTTTACCTCCATATCCTCCAGAATATGAATATGACAATGATTCACATTCATCTCCTCCTGAAACACCATCCAGATGTTGTTATTACTGTGCAGGAGATGATAACATCTCATATTCAGTCAGGAGCAGGGTTATTATTGTTAACTAAAACTGAAACCATAAAAGCCATTTTCATTACTTGAAATAAACATGAACTGAAATAATAAAAAAGTTAACTTATTTTATTTCAGCTAGTTTCCATTTCTCATTTTGTTTCAGTTTAAGTTGGACCATTAAATAACTGAAAGCTAAATAAACTAAAAGCTAAAACTACAAAAGCACACAACAAAATTAATACAGTTAAAATCTAATCTGAAATATTAACAAAAACTACAAAATAACACTGGTCAGGAGATGGTTTAGCTGTTCTGGGCGGAAGCAGGAGAGAGGGAGTGAAGGGGCCCCAGTCCACAGATCAGGAGTTCAGTGGGTTGCAGTGTTTGTGGAGCAGGCCAGCCTGTGTGTGTGTGTGTGTGTGTGTGTGTGTGTGTGACTAATAGAGGCAGGCATGCACAGCTGTGGGCTGGAGCTGCGCCTGATGCAGCATACAGACCAGAGAGCTGTCAACATGCCTCATCAGCGGTGGGAGGTGGGGTCAATGAGGGCTTAGTGGAGACAGCCAGCAAGGAATGCGCCAGACCCCCAGAGGAAGGAGGGCGCGCTAGTAAAAAAGACCAGGGACGGCTCTTGTGTAACTGTCTTTTACGGGTGCAGATGTAATGTTAGGAAACGCTTGCACTGAGATTCAGGTTTAGATTTGTGCGGTGGTAGAAATGTGTGCAAATATATGCAGCCTGTGAGTAAAAACATTAAAAAATATTACAAACTTTGAAAGATAGTGTATATTAAAGGGGTCATGAACTGCCTTTTTTATTATTTTGTACTGTTCTCTAAGGTCTACTTATAATGTTATCAAAATTTTGACATCCAAAAACATAATTTAGAAGTAACAGGCTATTTTCTGTCCTGTTTTGTCCGCCCTCATCGGAACGCTGTGTTTGAATAGACTCAGAACTAAATGTACACTGTTATGATCGGCTTACAGTTGTGTTAACTTGTGTATGTTTGACAGTCTACTTCACAGATGGATGCTGCTGTGATTTAGGTTTAAAAACACTTAAATGATCTGTAATAACAGACAATGCAATAGTGACCGCATAATAAAAACAGTTACTCAAACTTATGTGGTGCGACATAACTGCAGGATCCAATATAGTCAGCACAGCATCGTCTTTTAGTTTCAGTCTTTCTGAAAATCCTGCGTTGACTTGTGCCTTGTTTGTAAATAAATCCATTGTAAAATGAAGTGAACAAAAGGACCAAGTTCTTACTGACGCGGTCTGGATCTTCGTTAAAAAGTTGATCCACTCTTTCCTAATGTTGAGATCATGCAAAGACTGTTTTCCTACAGAGGCAATGCAAAGACTGTTTTTCCACAGCTTGGCACTGTACAGTGTCTTGTTGTGATTTGGAGCCATCTTTATCATATGGTTTCTGCATAGACCTGTGTTTGCCTCTCTCGTTATTCATCTACTACATGTGTGAATCGGTGGGCGGGGCTAAACGGGCATTGCTGTAGGAGCAGGTGTTGATGATCTTCTGCGGAGGCGGTGTTTAGCCACACTGTTACGTCATAAAGTGGCACATTCCACAACCTGTCGTTTTGGCAGATTGGCTTCAATATAAGCTGTTTTTAGACTAAGTTCTGAAACTTATAGGATGTTTTTATAGTACAATGACCTCTTATATGTCAAAAGATCAAGGGGATTTTGATTTCTCAGTTCATAACCTCTTTAAAAAAGAGCAAATGTTTGACTAAGAAAACAGCAGAAGGTAGTATTGGTCAGTAATGTTAGGCCTAAAATAAAGGCGAAGCTAAGTAAAGGATCGACTGAGGTCACACATTTTCCTGAAGATTGTATTCTACTATCGTAAGTTCTGCTGCTCTGTTTCATTCTGTTAGTGTTGTTACAAAGCTTGTGTCCGGCACACCAGACCTATATATGGAGCTGCTGAGAGGTGCTCAATCAAACAGGCTTTATACTGCTGCCCAGTGCAGACAACACATGCTCACACTGTCACACTCTGCTGCCTGCTCACTGTATCTGTTACCATGGCAACTGTGACAGTTTTCAGCTGTTGCCTTGACAACAGTCGAGTACTCCACCATCTAATTTGCTCAGACAAAGACACTGACACCTCTGAGAGGCAAAAGGGCACTCTGAGCTTTGGAAAGGATGTGGCGTGTATCAATTGGCCCAGTGACCTGTCATTATTCACAAGAGCGCAGCAGAACAGAGACCTAATCGACCCTGAGCCGAGCTGCAAGTCCTACTTTATCTTCTGTTTTGCGATCTACACACACCTGTACACATATCAAATGACTGGCCTGGATCTTTTTTCCACGCTATTATTATTTCTTCAGGGCCATGCTTGTCCAGCGCACGTGGTGTGGGAAAAGGATGAGCTGTGTAATATGTCCATCTATGACCATTGTCATTGCTCATTGTTTGAGGGTTAATGTGTCAGTAGTGGGTTTCTTTAAATATATTATATTTTATATGCACTTATTTTGCTGATACATATCAAAAGTAATTTGAATGTGCTCTTTATTTGGCCATTAAGTTTCCTAAAGAGCATATCATTAGACTAGCTTCATAATCATTTCTGATGTTCAAATGTTATTATTATCGATATTATTATTATTAAAATGTGTGAATTGGGTTAATTTAATTGTAAAACAATTTAGTAAAAAATAAAAAATATATTTTTAACTTTTAAAGTTCTTTCTGTCAGACATATTACTGATCGCCATGTGTGATTTTCTAAGTTTAAGTTTAGTACAAACACTCATTCCCCTTTTTAAAAAAATAGTCAGGAGGGGTTCACTAGACAAAAATCTGTACAAAAAAACATAAGTCAGCCCACAAGAGATATTTTTAATTGCATACACAACCATTCAAAAGTTTAGGATGAGTAAGATTTTTTTAAAATAAAGAAATTTACTTTTTTGCCCCACTGTATGTTGACATCAATAAAATGTATTTTTAAATGTATTTTTGTTATAATAATGATTATTATTATTATTGTTATAACTTTGTGTAAAATTGTTGTTCTGTTACTACTTGTATTAATTGTATTACCATATTATTGTATTACCATTTTCACCTTATGGTTGCATCACCACCTCGGGTGTGAATTATTCTCTTAATAGTTCAACGGCTCGTCGTCAATTATTCCTTTCTTAAACTTAATTCTACTCCACTGCCAAATATATATCGCTGCACATCATGGTTTTTAGTTTAGTGGAGTTCCCCTTCTTTGTGCACAGACCCCTTAATCTCTCTCTATCCATCCTCTTAAAGGCCTTAGCTACTGCTGTGTTCTCGTTGCCTGTTTGTTTCTCATGCGTCAGCTGACAGTGCAGGGAAACTGGGTCACTAATGCCCAGCCCAGTGTGTGCAGTGTCTTGCCCTCTGTCCCTCCATTCTCACTCTATCTGTGTGTGTGTCTGGAGTTTCACTGATCTACAGTTTCCCTCATGTTTGTGAAGTTGGATCAGTATCTGTGTGTTTTTGTAGGTATGTAGAGATGTAGTCTTGTTTGGCACACTTACACTACCCAGATGTCTACATGTGATTGGCCAGGCTCCTGTGTCATGGGCTCCTCCCACTGAAGTTACTCAGCGTGTGTACTCGTGCACAGCAAGTGAATGCCTTCCCAGAAGTGGGAGGTGCTGACCGTCTAAGACTTTACCCCCCATTCCCTCAGCTCAACTATCCCCTGTCGCCGCCGCTGCCCCGATCACAGCACCCGCTTTGACCTCAACCCCAGCACAGGCTCCTAACGGCCCGGCATCCGCTCCTGCCGCACAGGTGAGGACCCCGCAGGCACTACCTCCGCCCCAGACCCATGTAGTGACCGTGGCCAGCCTGCAGCCTTCCGTCATCGCACATGCGGGATCGGCATCGCACGCCTCAGTCATCCAAACCGTCAACCGGGTGATCCAGCCGGGCTCCAAGCATGTGGCCCACATCGCCCCTTCCTCCTCGAGCTCGGGCCCGCTTTGACCTCAACCCCAGCACAGGCTCCTAACGGCCCGGCATCCGCTCCTGCCGCGCAGGTGGTGACCCCGCTGGCACTACCTCCGCCCCAGACCCATGTAGTGACCGTGGCCAGCCTGCAGCCTTCCGTCATCGCACATGCGGGATCAGCATCGCACGCCTCAGTCATCCAAACCGTCAACCGGGTGATCCAGCCGGGCTCCAAGCATGTGGCCCACATCGCCCCTTCCTCCTCGAGCTCGGTGCAGCTGGCCCCCGGACCTCAATCTATTAGCCACATCACTGTCGCCCATCTTCCGGCAATCTACTCTCAGCCTGTCACAGTCACACAGCCGGCTGTCATGAGTCACATCGCGCAAACGCTCTCTCACAGCCAGATGAATGGCACTTCGGTGACCAGCACGCAAGCCGCCGTGGTGGGCAAGCAGATGCCAGTGGGCGCTCAGATGGTTAACCATCACCCTCAACTGGTGGGCCAGACCGTCCTCAACCCTGTCACCATGGTGACCATGCCCTCCTTCCCAGTCAGCACGCTAAAGCTGGCCTGAAGCGCTGACATACAGACCCCTAGATAGAGTATAGACACTTATAGACTGGCCCGCCTTGTCCGCCCCGTTTGAGACTGCAGCCACATGCAGCACTGCATTCAAACAAACTATAAAGCTAAAGGACACCGTACATTCCAAATGAAACGAAAGTATATAAAGCAACACAAAGAAATTTATTGAATGTCAAATACTATATAATGATATATAATAAAAGAGATGTTTTATCTTTATGTGTGGGCAAAGGCAAAGTCGAGAGTGCTTGTGTGCTGCTCAGTGTGTTTTAGGCTCTAGTGGAGTGTATTATGATGAAACTGTGGTCCGATCCCAGCCTAGATTGACCCTTAGCCAGCCTAATATGCGTGACTACTGGTTTAAATGACTTAGTGAAAAGGCAGCCCCCATAATACCTCACACTAGCTCCTCAACTAACAGCACACCTCATGTGAAGACTCTTCTCAGCTCCCGCTAGACCAGGTTTAATGTACTGTGTTGTGACTGATGTAAATCCTAAACCGGTTCTTGAAGTCCCTATAGTTCTTAAAGAGATAGTTTATGTCGTTCCAACCTGTGTGACTTTCTTTCTTCTGCAAAACATGAACATGAAGAACTGTTTTTGTCAGTACAATAGAAGTCAGTGGGGTTCAAAACAACTCAGACCCTGTTGGCTTTCATTGTCTGGACAAAAACACTTCAAAATAGCTTCTTTTTGTGTTCTGCAGAATAAAGAAAGTCATAAAAGTTTGGAACGACTTGAGTAAATAATGACAGAATTGTCTCTTTTTTTTGTTGTTGTTGAACTGTCGATTTAAAATCAATTTACCAGGTCAGTTTGACGTTACCACTATAGTTGATGCGAGATGTAGCATCATAATTACACTGGAGAAATGATTTTCTTAATATTTGTTTGTTTGTTTGTTTGTTTCATTTCAAATATTTGTAAATTCCTAAAGCAAGATACATTTACTTGAGAAGGAAGATGAATTAAGATATTAACCCCCAGTTTCACAGACAAGGCTTAAGCCTAGTCCCAGACTAAAATGTAAGTCTGAGCTGTTTCAACTGAAAGAAACCTGCACTGACTAATCTTAAAATATATCAGTGCCTTTGTTTTGTCTCAAGATGCACACCAGTAATGTTTTTTTTCTAAGCACGTTTATAAAAATTGCTTAAATGTCCTAATTGAACTATGATCTAATCCTAGCTTAGTCTAAGCCCCGTCTGTGAAACGGGGCCTAAATGTTTCAAAATTAAGTAAGCTTATGCTTTAAACAAACAAACAAACAAAAATCTGTTGGCATAAGAAAAATAATATTTTCCCTTTTAATAAAGTTTATCTTTCTTGCCCCACTGAAGCATAAACTCACTGACTTTTGATATTTTTATTCAGAAAACAAGACTTAATATCTCAAGTCATTTTGTTTTGCAAGTGTATAAATATATGTTGATTTAAAAATGTTAGGTTTTTACTGGAAATCAAGACAAAAATCCTGAGTAAGAAAATCATTTTTGCAGTGTACAATAGTCAATCATGTAGTTGATATACATTTTAGACACCAGAAGCGTATGTGAGATGTCTTTTTACAGCGTTTAAATGATTTATCTGTAGTGCTCTAGCTGGCATAGACACTATTGTTGTGTGACTGTCACATGAGTCTGGGAATCTGACAGGAGTGCCTTTTAACGTCAATCTGGAGTCCTGTTCAATGCTGCCCCCTATTGTTCTCTTGCTGCAACTGCACTCTATGTTATTCACTAACAAAGCCACCTACAGTACTTACATCCAAGCTCAGTGGTGTATGAATTCAGCTCCACTGAGGGGAACCATCTCAAACAGCCATTAGTTTGCAACAGCGCAAACGTTGTTCTGGATGTCATTGCGAATGTATTGCAACACATTCAATGCCTTCATCTTGCCACTGGTGATAAATGTTGGTTATTATATGTGCAGGAAATAACTGCATGGCTATTTCTTCAAGTAGCAGAGTGTTACATTTCCATGCATTTGTGTGTTTCTCAGAGGCTTTGTGCTGGTGTTTTTGTGACTAATAATGTTGCAGGGGAAGATGAATGGATGCCACTTTGTGTTCCTTAAATGAACATCTTTTAGGCTTCAGGACAGTTGTAAGAGTCTGAGAGATGCTGAAGGATTCATGGACGGGAAGATGTCTGTATTGAGCTGCACTGACCGCTACACAGTTCTGCAGGTAGAGCACAGCCTGTACGTACAAAGAGATTTGATTTAAAACTAACACTGTGATCCCTGTCGGTTGTTCCAGTAAGAGCAAGCCATGTTTACCAATCACACTAGCGTTATGTTGCGCAAGAGTCCCTGCATTTGTTTAGCTTCTGTAAGCATGTGAGAGAGAACACATTGTTATTACACTTTTTATTTTGGTTGTCAGGTTTTACTTTTGTGTATTCGCACTCTGTAGGATGTACACATTCTTAGACTAGTTGATGTGGCTGTTTTTGCATGTAGATGGATGATTTTTGTTTCAGTGCTAATTTTTTATTGTTATTTTCAATTTCTGGGACCATGTACAGTTATATATATGTTGGGGCAACTTTTCAGACCTCTTTCCACACTGATATTATATATATGCGTATATATTATGTGTTTTCCCTATGGAGAAAGTTGTATATAGCCTGTAAATTTGGGGTGGTGTATAGACCTAACTGTCCATTATGTTATAAGAGGAGCAAAAATAAATACAAAATGTTCAATAAAAAAATACATCTTGATACATTTACCTATTGTTTAGTAGTCATTTTTGGACACTTGAGAGTCAAATTACTAAACTAAATAAGTAATCTTTTGTGTTCAAGAAGAACCAAATGGTTTGGAGAGAATTAGTAAATGATGACAGAATTTTCATTTTTGTGTGAACTATCTCTAAATTCATAAGTGGCCTGTACAATATTTCTTAAACCTTTAACAGAACTTTTAGCAAGCCACTTACAGTTGGCAGTTTGAGTAAAGCCATATAGTTAACATGAAAAAGAAAAAGAACTGATTATTTTTGGTCAATAGTTGAGAAATCAACCCAACCATTCTTGTGAGTGATGTTTGTTGTACAAAAATTAGGTTTTAGTTCCCACCCTGATCAAACTCGCCTGAACCAACTAAACAAGGTGTGTTTGGGATTGCTTAAAAATTACAAGCTGATGTGTTGAACTGAACTAAAAAAATGACGTGAGGGGGAATAAATAATGACGTTTTTTTTCTATTACTTGTTCTGTTCATTTTGCATTAGTACATTGGACTGTCGAGTTATACACACAATAAAACAATGAAAATAGCCTATATGGTGCGGAACCTGTTTCTTGCTCAGAGTAGAAACAACATAAAGGTAACTTTCTCCCAAATGTGTTATTTTTGTGCTATTTTAAAATTTATCTCAGTTTTTTTTTACTTCCAACTATAGAAAACGGAGGTGATTATAACTATGATATATACATAAATATAAGCATTAAGTTGTGTTTAAATTATACGTATATTCTATACATCAAAAAATATTTTTTGTGTCCCTTACATAAAATAGTTTTGATGAATATGGTGTACTTTACTTTTTAAAGCAATGCATTTACACCAATTACAAAAGTGAGAGAAAAAAAAGCTAAAAGTGAAAACAAACGGCATGGTTTTGTGGTGAGCAAGATGAGCGGTTTGCATCTGGCAATGCAAGGCGTTCTGGCAAAGTACAAATGCCACGAGATGACAAAGTAAAACCACATCATTCATTGCTTGGGACAGCCAACCCCTGTTGTTCATCCAGCAGAGAGGGCTTGGTTGAAATCAAAAGACATATCAGGTCATAAAATGATTCCTTATAGTCTGAATCAGTCAATATGTCATACATAACACTTGACAAAAACAGAAAAGATTAATCTAATCAAACACTTCATATGTGGTTTTAAAGTTCGGACAGGACTTCAGTCCTTGTGTTGGTGTGGAGAATGATGCTGTCCACCTCAGATAAACCATGCAATATTGCAATGGGAAAGTCCAGGGCAAGATCACAAGAATCTGGATAGTAAAGAGCATCTAACAAATACATGGCTTTTAAATTAAGTGCCTCTGCTTTAAAATGTTTCCATGCTAATAGTGTAATCAGTTTTTTTTCATACACAAACACTTAAACATACATCAAATATGGTCATTATTATAAATGAAAAATGTATGCTACAAAGAAAAGCCTGTTGTTTATTTGTCAGTTGTGTGCACTGAAGCTTACAGTCATAAATCATTGAAAAAAATATATGCATTTTTTATTTGTAACATTTAATTGCTGTATGTTGTGGCTGCTTTGTGCTTCTTCAGACTTTCTTCAAACAGATTCTTCAAATCAGTTTAAAGTGACAACAGTGGCATCCACAGATCCACTGGGCCATAAATATCAGTTTCTTTGCCAACAGTGATATAAATGATCTGTTTAAACACACAAAATGTCATGAGATAAGAACATTTATGTCATACTCTTAACAGTTACTTCCTTGTGACACAAATGCAGTTTATTCATTTGATTTATAAACATAAACCACTATTAAAATATAATGACAAAAAAAACCATTAAAAAAGTTCTGGTCTGTTTTAACATGGAGTTAACAAAACTACATTTTAACACTGTTTATGACGACACATGATGACTGCCTTTGATTCACTTGGCTCTTGATTTGATCTTGCTCTGCTTGTGCACAGGTTATCTCATCCACACAGCCTTGAGTGCTGTCGTTATCAAACTCAGCGGCGTGATTGTCACAGCCTTCCTCATCAGATGCCGGGGCAAGAGCTCGGTTCAGGGTGGGGACAGTGTTAAACATGATGAAACCAACGAGGATCACCACCAATGACACAATATACAGTCCTGAGAACTGAAAAAGAACAAATAAGTGGACTGAAATACCTCAGTCAAAAAAATCTATTTTTATTCAACAATGATGGACCATTTGTAGAAAAAAATATATAATATTGAAAGAAGTTCATTTAAATATAAAAACAGTTAGAGTTACATAAAGTGTGTAGTGCGTTTAGTATATAAATGAATGACTAAGATATGTTTGTTTGTTTTGTGTTTTTTTGGTGAGGAAGGTCAAAGAGTAATCAGAGGACACAGGGGACTCAAAAACCTTCACACATTAAAGAAATATAAAGCTCCATGTCACAATGACCCAGAATATCTGAGATAAGAATACAAGGACACATATATAGATACTACTACCACTTATGCATTTTTTTTTTTTTTAATAATTTATTTTTTCATTTATAGACATTACCGTTCAAATGTGACCCTGGACCACAAAACCAGTCTTAAGGACACAAATATAGATACTACTACCCCTTATGCATTTTTTTTTTTTTTATAATTTATTTTTTCATTTATAGACATTACCGTTCAAATGTGACCCTGGACCACAAAACCAGTCTTAAATTGCACGGGAATATTTGTAGCAACAGCCAAAAAAACATTGTAAGGGTCAAAATTATCGATTTTTTTTATGCCAAAAATCATTAGGATATTAAGTAAAGATCATGTTCCATGAAGATATTTTGTAAATTTCCTACCGTAAATATATAAAAACTTCAGTTTTGATT